TTGAGTTGTATTTTTGTTATTGACCAAATACTTATTTTCCACCCTGATTTACGAATAAATTCTTTACAAATCCTACCATGTGGATTCATGGATTTTTATTTTTATTTTTTTTCACATTCTGTCTCTCACAGTTGAAGTGTACCTCTGGTGCAAATTACTGACCCCTGTCATCATTTTAGGTGGGGGAACTTGCACAATTGGTGGCTGACTAAATACCTTTTTGCCCCACTGTATGTATATATTTGAGCCTTTATGTATACTTTATGTATACTTTTTGTGGATTTAAAAAATCAAAAACAAAACCTCAAATTAAACTTGTGCATCCAGTTCTTGTTCTCTTCAGTCATTAGAGATGTATAATGTCCAGTCATTCCACCCTGAAAAAGAACAGATCAAAATCCCAAATTACCATGACATTCATGCCCATAATGAGTTTATGTAATTAGAAAGCTATTTGTGTAGTGCTTGTGTACACTGGAGTCAAAAGTCAAGAGACATGACAAAGGAAAGACACAGAGAGAGGTGGAGTGAGGTAATTAATTACCTATGTGTTTAACAAAACCGCCCCAACACAATAGATAATATAAACAAGTAAAAGCAAGGTATTATCAGTACTGCGGGTTTGTGAGTGCATAGGATAATCATATCACAAAAATATAATCACAATCATATGATATGACAATCATATGGCATGATAATATTTTATTATCAGTAATAATGAAGAATGGTGGACAACAAGCAAAAATGCATGATGGAGATGACCTTTTAAAAGTCTGAGAAAATGTGGGCGTTTTATATGAGAATATTCATAATGCAGAACCTTTGACACACTTATAACAGAACCAGGTGGCATTTGTTGGGGGGTTGGGCACAGAGACTAGTGTCTCAGTTTTAGATTAGGATGGTTTCTGAGGCTTTAAATCCAGTGTTATTTAGCCGTAGGACTAATCATGTGGTGGGAAAGCATGCATATACGTCATAAAAATGTGATATTAGGCCTGTAGCTGCAGAGCAGTGAGGGTGTAACCCCAAAGACTATGATGGAGACGTTCATACTTGGAAATGAACGCCTCTAAGTAATACTACTACTACTACTAATAATAATAATAATAGCAGCACAGTTCTTTTTTGTGTGGTTATTTCCTCTAAGGGTGTTTAATCTGTAAATGCGCTGCCGCGTGCTCGCTGGCCTCGAGAGAGCGCCGCTGCGGTCGAGGAGATGACAGATTGACGTCATCGAGACTGACGCAGAGCGAGCGAGAGGTAGCGGTGAGGCAGAGGCAGCAACAGCAGCATCCCAGCTAACGAAAGGCACCTCATCAATCTCTTACCAACCAGCGAGGTGTTTTTTCCTCCACATCCTCCACAAATAACGGTAGGGACACGAGCGCGAGCAAGGACTGAACCGTGTCTACGAAATAGCGGTGGGGTGGTTTTAGACCGGGCTCGTGATGCTTTATGCTGTCGCCGTAATTCCCCCTTCGTTGTGGTTTGGTTGTCATTGTAAGGTTAGCAACTCTGGCTGTGTTAGCTGTGTATTGAATGCAGACGAGCAGGTGTTCGGTTTCATCACAAGCGCCACAGTTTACACAGTTAAAATTGTTCCGTGTGGACATCGCTGCTGGTGTATTTGTTATGAATGAAGCTGCAGCCTGATGTCACCCTCAAAGTCATGCTCGAGTCTGGTTTATTCTGCAGAAATAACGATACGGTTAACGTGATTTCCCTTTGAGGAAGTGATTCAGGGTAGTTAACTGTTAGCTAGCTACACCTGCCCAGCTTCCTGTCTTGATTTGAGACGTATTGCACAATTATCTGCAGTCAGACATAGGCTACTAGCATTTGTTAGTAGTCATGTGTTGTTATATAATTACCATTACCTCCACCTGCTGAAGTGTTTAGTTTCACAAATAAAGGCACTACTTTCCAGTATTTCAATGTTCAGTCATGTTTATCCGCCACGAAAAATAGGCCGTGTTCTAGTGGACCTCCTAAGTTAAGTTCTGTTAGATGTGTTTACATTAACTTTTTTTTATCGGTTTCAATTACATTGATTTCAATTGAACTTTATTTATATAGCACCAAATCACAACAACAGTTTCCTCAAAGCACTTTATATTGCAAAGTAAAGACCCTGCAATGT